CTGAGCTGGGCCACCTGCCCTGGTCCACCACCTGTTGGGCTCCATCAAAGCACACACACAACACATTGAGCAAAGAATGATCCCCAGCTTCCCAACAAGCTGCTTCCCTAACTCACGAACCGCCCTGCCCAGAGTGGCTCCCGAAGCAGTGACAACAACATCGTTAATGTTCTCTGCAATTTATTGGGAATGGCAACATCTCGGGGAAGGAGGGATGGACACACACAGAAGAAGGGAGGTGGGGACACAGAACAGGAGGAAAGAGGAGTTTTATACACATTTGCCACAAGAAATGTACAACACAGCAAGGAAGGCAGAGCAGCCCCTCCTGCCAGGCAGCTCCTGGTGCCGGGACACCCACGGCATCGCCACCAAACCCCCGGCTGGGACCAGGAGCTGGGATGAGCTGGATGGGAGGGACACAGTTCATCCCATTGCAGGACAATGGAGCTGGGCTTCGGGAGGCTGGGCTGCTGTCAGGAGGAGAGAGGAGATGCTTCTTTCCTTGTCAACCTTCGGGGCTCAGAATCGCACTCCCGAAGATTTGACCGAGGTGGTGGTGACGCATCTCCGCACGGAGGAGGATCCCCCACCGGAGCCGCACATCCTTCCGCTTCCAGAGGAGAAGCCCCCACCGTACATTCCTCCCCCCATCCCACAGCTGCCACCCATGCTGCCTCCTCCAAAGCTGCTGCCTCCTCCGCAGATGCCTCCTCCCATTCCTCCTCCCATGCCGCTGCCGCCTCCAAATCCTCCTCCCATTCCACAGCTGCCGCCTCCGAATCCTCCTCCCATGCCGCTGCCTCCGAATCCTCCTCCCATGCCTCCTCTGCCTCCAGAGACAGTCGTCCTGCCCACCACAGCTGGAAGAGAAGCACAGGTTACTCACTCACCTGTTTCCCAAAAATCAAGTTCTACCACTTCTGAGGGACCCCAGGGCAGATACTTACAGACATTGACGTTGGACATGCTGTCATTGCACAGCCTGTGAGGGGAAAATGGGACCAGTTATTCCTCTGGGAAATGCACAGCTCTTCAGCCGAGATTTTCCCATTTTTGTACATGCTTATATTTCTCAATTATTCTTTAAGAAAATTAACAATCTGTTCAGTACTTTTTCCAGAATTTTCCAATTATTCTTTAACAATAAATTCACAACCTTTACCTTCACTTTCCTTAAAGATAGAAAACCCACTTAAGTAAGTTTATGCTTAATATAATTAATATATACCTGAGAATTTGAGCATGAATGACACAAAAGCAATCTTTTGTCTGGATTCAAGGGTTTTACCCACATGTCTTATAATCTGCCAAGAATTTAGTCAAATTGATGCCAATCAAGTACCTGTTCTCCTCTCCCTCCAGCAACTTCCTGTACATGGCAATCTCAACATCCAGTGCAATTTTGGTGTTCAGCAGCTCCTGGTACTCCTTCAGCAGGCGAGCCAGCTCCTCCTTGTCCTTGTTCAGGGCACATTCCAGCTCTTCCAGCTTCTTCCTGGCATCCTTGATGGCCATCTCCCCACGCTCCTCAGCCTCAGCAATGGCTGACTGAAGCTGCTGGTTCTGAGGAAGAGAAAACCAGTGTATGAGATCCCTTCTACCCACCCTCTACTGGAGCATCCACATGGTACAAACTGGAGGGAAAACAGACACAAAAAAATCCATCTCCTCCAAAGGGCATGAATTTTCATTATCTGCTTTCCCTCTCACCACCCAGCCCCATCCTGACCCAGCATGCAGCTGTTACCCAATGAGGAGCTGATGGTCCCTTACCTGCTTCTTCACATTCTCGATCTCAGCCCGCAGCCTCTGGACATTCCTGGACAACTCTTGGATCTCAATCTTGGTGTTGCGGAGGCTGTCCCCATGTTTCCCAGCAGTGTTCTGGAGCTCCTCATACTGGAGATGTGAGGACCAAGACATCCATCAGCGACACAACTGACCAAAATCTCAGGTGGTTCAAACAGAGGGGAGTATCCCAGGTACCTCAAGCCTTTCCAACTCACCCGGCTCTGGTACCAGGCCTCGGCCTCAGCCCGGCTGCTCTGGGCAATCTGCTCGTACTGGCGCCGGACCTCCTCGATGATGCTGTCCAGGTCCAGGTGCCGGTTGTTGTCCATGGACACCACCACGGACAGATCCCGACTGATCGTCTGCATCTGAGACAGCTCCTGCAACCAAGACATGAGTCAGAGACACCATCTGATGACAGGAGAGAAGAGAAGCAGCTCCAGGCAACCTCTCCATATCAAACCCACAAAGATGCCCAGCCCAAACTTAGTGTCTTTGGCCACCACACCCTCGTTAAAACTTCACCCAGGGGAAGGGAGAGCTCCTACCTCCTCATAGATGCACCTCAGGAAGTTGATTTCGTCAGTCAGAGCTCCCACCTTGGCTTCCAGCTCAACTTTGGTCATGTAGGCACAGTCCACATCCTAAAAGGAAGGATCTCAGAATTGGACCACGGCTTTCTCTCATCGCACAAGAACTGTTGGCTCTTCCCATTGGGATCTGCCCATCTTGGAGCTGAGTCCTTCCCATGTCTTTTCCTCCTGTCCCCTCTCACCCCATCCCTGCTGGTGTCTTCAGACTCACCTTCTTGAGCACCACAAACTCATTCTCAGCAGCCGTGCGACGGTTGATCTCCTCCTCATACCTGTGGTGGGGGCAGGACAAGGTGAGAGTCTGAGACCCCTGCTCACTCCACCTGAGGGGTTTCCGCACCAGCTCCTCTGTCCCTGTCTGTCCCCGCACTCACTTGGTTTTGAACTCCTCCACATACTGCCGCATGTTCTGCAGCTCTGACTCCAGCTGGCCCCGCTGTCCCAGGATTGATTCCAGCTGCCTCCGCAGGTTCTGGATGTAATTCTCAAAGATCACATCCAGGTTCTTCCTGGGCCCGGATGGCCCTTGCTGCTGGAGCAGCTCCCACTTGGTGGAGAGCACCTTGTTCTGCTGCTCCAGGAATCGGACCTACAGCCAGCAAAGGGTGTGTGAAACATTTACCAGAGAGACATCCAACTCCTGAGAGATTTGGGAGCCCAGGCAATCATTCCCCATCTATGTCTCATTCAGGCATTCAGCCTCCTCAACTGCATGAGAAGAATTATTCAATTTATTTATTATTAGACAATTAAGTTTTTAGTAATTCTGAACTTCTCCCTTGGGGACAAAGAGACGTTGCCAGTTGAAAACATCATCCCAAACATCAGGGTTGGACTTTGCCATCATCTTTCCAGTCAAGAAAGATGAATTTTTTTATTCCCCAACTGCCCATGCATTCTCTTGGGCAGGATTCTCTATTTCTTCAGCTTCTATTTGAAATTAAAATAATCCAAGAGTATTGGAAAGGAGTTTAGTGCTCTGAAGTTTCTACAATCAGGCTTTGAAAAGAAAGTCTCATCAAAAAGCAAATCCCAGCAATGAGAACTCTTAGGACAATTACATTTACAATGATGACTTTGCCCTGAATCACGCAAAATGAGACTGTCGAAGTGCCTTGGCAAGACAATCTGCAGAATACCTTGCAGATTTTCTCTTTAATCTTCCATTAGCACAAAATCTCCTCTATTGTTCAGTGCTACTTAATAAAACCTGACTAATTACAACTTGATGCTGAGGTATTGGTCTGACAACTCCAACAGCAGTTGGTAAGTGAAAAAATTCCCATTCCCCTCCCCAAGAAAGTTGTTTGACATGCCACTTACGAAAAAACCTGGTCCTAAACTCTCACCTTGTCGATGAAGGAGGCAAACTGGTTATTCAGGGTTTTGATCTGCTCCTTCTCCTGGTTTTTGACTTGCTGGATCTGGGGGTCAATCTCGACATGGACCGGACGCAGGAGATTGGGGTCAACTTGCACAGGCTGGATGCCCCCAGGGAAACCTGGACCACCAAAGCCGCCCATTCCGCCCATCCCTCCACTGCCCATTCCACCACCAAAGCCACCCATTCCTCCACCACCACCCATTCCGCCACCATAGCCACCCATTCCCATTCCTCCACCACCCATTCCACCACCACCCATCCCTCCACAGCTCATTCCTCCACCAAAGCCGCCTATCCTGCCACCGTATCCACCACCGCCGTAACATCCGCCCACGGTGATCCCTCTGCTGCCCCCCATGTTATGGAGGCTCCGGCTGCTGAACCCCCCGCAGTGTCCTCCTCCGCCTCCTCCCCGGGATGAGGAGTACGAGCTGTAGCTGATCTTGCTCCGGCCGCCACCGCCTCCAAATCCACCACCAACAGCAGAGCAGGAGCTGAATCCCTTTCTCCCCCCGACTCCAAAGCTCCTGCAGACAGACTGACGAGACATGGCTGATTTTTTCCAAGAAGAATCAAAATCCGGAAGAGCAGAAAGACCAACGGAGTTGATGAGGGCAGAAAGAAGTCTGCAGAGTCTTCTCTGGTTCCAACAGCTCCGGGCATTCCCTTTTATCTGCTGCTGGAGGTGGGCTGGAACAGCTTGGGCGTGAAGGTGGAAAGCAATTTAGTATTTTCATCAGCACAAGGTTGTTGACAGATTCGCCATGAGCTTTGCCATATTTGGGGCTGCCCAGAAACACACCCTGTAATCTAGAGGTGAATAAAGCAAGAGCATAGAGGCAGGTCTCCATGAGTAAGTGGACTCTTGTATCTTTATGACATCTTGGAAATCAATTATGTCCATAAATCCCCTTTTCTGCACCCCCTCATTGGATATCAAGCCCTGATTAGTGGCTCCCAATAATTCCAGATAGAGATCTCCCTATCAAAGCTCCATAGAAAGGCAAAGTTTTGATGAAATCCCAGCTATAATATGGCTTTCATAATTCCTTACACACACCCTTAATCCCTTTTTTATATGTTAAATTGCTTTTGCGTTTCAGGAGATGTTTCCCAATCCTGAATGGGAATTCATGACACCAAAATTTGAGGAGACTCAGCATATTCTCCTGCTAGAGAGGAAAAACATCTTCTTGGAGCATGTGGTGTCACTACAGTGGGAGTGTCTTCTACCTGTAGACTAAATTCCCTCCACTTGCAACTCCACAAATCTGGGACAACCAGCTGGACTTTGGATGATGCTGAAGCAGAGGGAAGAAGATGACTGAAATTGTCTCATACTCCTCAGTGTTCTGAGGGTGGCAGGAAATGACAACTTGAGGAAGAATAAAGGGACACATAGGGAACACTTTGGTGACAATGTCAGGGACAGACAAACACTATGGAAGAGGAGCGATGGACAATTTGAAGTGGTGAGGGGCTCCTGCTGCTCTGGTGAATTCCACAACCTCTCATTTACCATTTGTTTTTTGGTTTTTGGTTTTTTTTCCAAAAATGAGATGACTGACATGGAAAAACGTGCTGAGGAATGGAGCTGTTACAACCCCCAAGGCACAGTATAACCTTTTGCTTCCAAATAATTTATCGGGAAAGGAATGTGGTTTAGGAATGTATTTTACAGGATGTCTCTGAAATAAACCCTTTTTTGGGGTGTGTGTGTGTGTGTGTGTGTGTGTTGCATGCAAATGAAATTTTAATTAATTACAGAAAATACAAATAATATCAGTGTGTTAAAAAAAAAAGTAGATTCTAGTTTAAAAGGAAGCCAAGTCTGTAAATACTATTTAAGAGGCATTCTAAAGGTTTTATCTATCTGGACAGTGTCAATTAAACACCTGAATAATTTAATGAATTAAATAGAAAATGAATGCCCACATTTTCCTAGAAGACAGCACAGGTAATGAAAAAATGGCAGAAGATGCACATTCTAACCTCTGAAATACTGAAATCATTAATTTAAGGCTATTCAAAAGACCTGTGTATGAACGCAGACCTTCAGAAGGAATTTTCAGAGTCTCTAATGAGATCTGGGCAACTAAATGTGGTATTACGAGGCATCAGAACCCAAAATGTCCCTGACTGTCACTGGGCCAGGGGTATTGATCCCCCGGGTCTGCGTAGAACAGTGTGTAAGGGAGGGGACAACATTACCCTTGAGGGAGTCAATGGTTGGCCGAGGGTTATCCCACTCTTGGGAGACTCAACAGTTGGCCAAGAGTCATCCCACTCCTGAGGAACTCGGAAAGACTTGGCCAAGGGTTATTCCACACTGGGGGGTGCAGTAACACTTCAACAAGAGTTATCTCACTCCTAACTCCCGGTTGGTCAACAGTTATCCCCCTCTCAAAGCATTCACCTAAGAGCTGGCCACGGATTATCCCACCCACAAGAGACTCAAAAAACACTTATCCAAGGGTTATCCCACCCTCAATGGATCAGGTAAGAGTTGACCAATGGTTATCCCACTCTTGAGGGACAAGGTTATCCAGCCTTGAGGGGGGACCAATGGTCAGCCAAAGGTTGCCCAGGTGTGTGTTCATGCAGCTGGAGAATGGACAGCACTCCCACAGTGTGGAGGG